TTGTTGTTGTTGTTGTTGTTGTTGTTGTTGTTGTTGTTGTTGTTGTTGTTCTTGGCAAAGATACTGGAGTGGTTTGCTGTTTCCTTCTCTAGTTGATTTTACAAAAGAACTGAGGCAAACAGAGGTAAGCGACTTGCCCTGAGTCACACAGCTAGTTAAGTGCTGTGACCAGATTTGCACTCAGGAAGATGAGTCTTCCTGACTCCAGGCCAGTATTACTGGCATATAATTGGGCAAAATATATGTGTATGTGTGTCTGTGTGTGTGTATGCACTTTTCCTCTTTGAACCAATTTAGATGAGAATGAGGTTTAAGCACTGCCCACCAACTCTCCCACCATTTCTTATCTACTGTAAAAGCTCTTCCTTCCATGTCTTATATGAGACAATTTTCCCTATTCTTCCTTTCCCTTACTCCTTCCCCCATAGCATCCCTCTTTCCAAAAATGTTCATTTATTTCACATTATCCCAACATAATCTACTCATTCCTATGCTCTCTGTCTACGTAAAGTCTTTCTAATTGCTCTAATAATAAAAAAGTTCTTAGGAGTTATAAATACTATTATTTTCTTCAGTGAGTTTATGTACCCCCTTTTCTATTTGGCCAATTCTACTTTTTAAGAACTTGTTTTTAATCAGTGAAATTTTTATTTTCTTTTTCTATGTGGCCAATTTTGTTTTTTAAGGAGTTATTTTCTTCAGTATTTTTTGTTCCTCTTTTACTAAGCTATTAATTGTCTTTTCATAATTTTCTTCCTTTTCTTTCATTTCTTTGCCTAGTTTTTCCTCTACCACTCTTATTTGATTTTGAAAATCATGTTTTTAGTTTATCTAGGAATTCTTGTAGAGCTTGTGTTCAATTCACATTTTTCTTTAAGGCTTTGTTTGTAACTGTTTTGACTTCACTGTTTCCTTCTGAGATTGTGTCTTTATTTTCCCTGTCACCATAGTAGCTTTTTATAGTCATGTTCTTTTTTTTCTTGTTTGCTCATTTTTCCACCCTAATTCTTGGTTTTGAACTATTTATTAAAGTTGAACTCCATTACCAGCGTGGGATGAGGGTGAGGGACTATCCCAAGCTTCAGGTTTTGCACTGCTGTTTTCAGAGATATTTCTGGGGTACCCAATGGGACACATATAAGAAACCTTATATTCATTTCATCCCGTAGAATAGTAGGACAGTTAAATACATAGACACAAATTAAGGAAAAGGAATCTGAAGACACAGGTTACCATGATCTTTCAACATTGCTACTCCAAAGATCTTTCCCTACTCCATTTCTCTCCTCCCTGGCATTTTGTGACTATCTGACAGCAGATTTATGCCTACCATTAAGACTCAGACACCAGCAATGCCACTTTCTCTCCACTTTCTATACCACGATGCCACTCCATATATCAGCTCAATATATAAGGAAATATTTTCTAACACTTGTGTAGTTGTCCAACAATGAAATGTTTTCCTCCTGTGTCAACATATCACTCATAACTAGAAATGTTCATTGGAAATGTTATGGGATAGTTGGTGATGGTGGAGAGGGTGACATCTTAGGTCCCTTCCAATACTAAGACTCTATAATTAATCTAGAGGTTATATCCCTATATCAAATTATCTGTTGCTTCCTTTCTAAAGAACCAGGAAGACCAAACATGAGCCAGACCAACCAGACCTGGGTGACAGAATTCCTCTTCCTGGGATTTTCTGATGACCTTCATACTAAGTTGCTGCTCTTTCTATTGTTCCTGGGAATCTACTTCGGCACTGTGCTTGGAAGCTTACTCCTCATCTACCTGGTTCTAACTGACTCACAGCTTCATATGCCTATGTACTTTTTCCTTTGCAACTTATCTCTGGCTGACATTGGTCTTTCTACCAACATTGTTCCCCAAGCCCTAGTCCACATGCTGACAAAAAACAAAATAATTTCTTTCATGGGCTGTGCTGCTCAGCTTTTCCTCTCCCTCATTTTTGGAGCTACACAATGTGCCTTGTTAGCTGCAATGTCGTATGACCGATATTTGGCAGTCTGTGACCCCATGCACTACCCTCTCATTATGACAGGGAGGGTATGTGCCCAGTTGGCCTTGGGGTGCTGGACCAGTGGCACTGTAGCATCCTTGGTAGATACTTCATTCACACTATGCCTCCCCTACCAAGGAAATAATAGGATTGCTCATTTCTTTTGTGAGGCCCCTGCTCTCCTGGCCTTGGCATCTGCAGACAGCCACAAAGCAGAGACAGCCATTTTCCTCATGGGGGTGGTGATGCTTCTTGTACCTGTGTCCCTGATTCTGGCCTCCTATGGCTCTATCATAGTGACTGTGGTCAGGATAAAGACAACATCAGGGAGACTCAAAGCATTCTCCACCTGTAGTTCCCACCTCCTTGTGGTCATCCTTTTTTATGGAACAGCAATAATTTCCTATATGACCCCCAAATCCTCCAAGGAGCAGGCCAAGCTGGTTTCTGTGTTCTATACAGTAGTAAACCCTATGCTTAACCCTCTCATCTATAGCCTGAGGAATAAGGATGTGAAGCAGGCACTCAGAAATGCAGCCAAGAGGTGGAAATTCTGAAAACCTTGATTTTCACTCTGTAATTACATTTGACCAAATTTGTTATCTCCACCACTTACTGTGTGGCCCCCTGAAAGGAAATGATTATTCCCCTTATGACTAGTTGTGGGAAACACATGCATATGTTGTGTGTTTGTTGTCTATCTACATATGTACATAGAGAGGTACATATATGTGTGTGTATTTGTATATGCATGTAATATTTATTGTATATTCTTACCGTGGCTCAATTATAGGGCAAGGCCAAGAACATAGTATATGTAAACCTAGGGAAAGAATATGGGCTACAGCAAGAGGAGGTCCAGATCTATAGCCAGGTACCTCAAAACCAATACCAGGGAAACTTGATAGAGACAGACTAGCACTTTTGATGCCCACTACCCAGTTCTTGCTCAAAGATCCAAGGCAGACTGAGAAGAGTACTTGCAATTGGGTATGATTTTCCCTGAGAGAAAGGCCTTGGGTAGGAAGGAAAATGTTCAGAAGCAAAGCAGCAGATATGTGTCTCACACCCTAGGAACAGGGTCTCAGTTCTAGCAGCTAGTCCAGCCTGCAGAGGAATAACCAGGATATAAATCCCAGACCAAAGGAGAGCCTACAGTTGTGTCACTCTAAACCAATGGAGGTTTCCAACTGGTTGATAAAGAACTAAGTCTAGCTTTATTTTACCATTTTTCCTATCCAATTCTAGGTCAGGACCTTGCAGATCTCTGACAAAGGGGAAACCAAATGAGACTATGCCCTGGATCAGACTATTTTTCTGAACACTGAAAGTTTTTAGGTCCCTAGCCCATCCCTGAGATCCTGGAATAACACAAAACTCAATTTTCAAAGAAAGTAGCAACCAGGACCTGCTAAGACCTTCCTTAAAGATATAAAGTCCATGAGGACCGAGGCTGGAAGAATGAACAAAAATAAAAGAATCTCATTCTATACAGTTATTTTGATGGTGGAGAAACTCAAGACACAAACTGAAAATAAAAGAACAAGCCCAAATTATCAACAAAGAAAGCTTCACCTTGGGTACAAATTAAAATAAAATTCCTGAAATAGACAAAACAAGAGTTTGAAAAAGTTTTTAAATATGTTTTGTCAATGAATAGTTTTGTTGTTCGGATGTTTTTAGTCATGTCCATCTCTTTCTGACCCCATTTGGGGTTTTGTTGGCAAAGATACTGGAGTGGTTTGCCATTTCCTTCTCCAGCTCTTTTTAAGGATGAAAAAAACTGAGTCAAACAGGGTTAAGTGATTTGTCCAGGATCATATAGCTAATAAGTGTCTGAGACTAAATTTGAACTCAGGAAAATGAGTCTTCCTGACTCCAGTCCTAGCACTCTATCCACTATACCACATAGCTGCCCCAAAATGATAATACTAGAGGAAAAAATTGGGGAAAAAATGAGAGCTTTGGAATGAAGAAATGAAAAAAGAATGAACAACATGACACAGGAGATTCAAAATCTTGTCCAAGCAACAAGCTACCCGAAAATTAGAATGGACTAAATAAAATCCAATGACTTCATGAGACAAGAAAACATTAAAAACAAAGTCAAAAGGCTGAAAAAAAAATAAAATGTAAGATACCTAATCGCAAAAATAATGACATGGAAAACAGATCAAGGAGAAATAATTTAAGAATCAGCAGACTAGGGAGGCGGAGCCAAGATGGTGGAGAGAAACAGTGACTGTCTTGAGCTCTCTCCCAAAGCCCTCCAAATACCTAAAAAAAATGGCTCTAAACAAATTCTAAAGCAGCAGAACCCACAAAAGACAGACTGAAAGACATTTCCAGCCGAAGACAGCCTGGATGGTTGATCAGAAAGGTATATTGCACCGGGCAGGGAGAGGAGCTCAATTTGGTGTGGGTGCGCAGGCCTCAGCGACCCTGGAGCAGGCCTCAGAGAACTGAATCGCTGGCAGCTGTGGCGGTTTGCAGACTTCTCAACCCAGGAATGCCAAAGGCAACATGGAAGGTCAGTGGGAAAAGTCTGTGACTGTGGTGAGAGAGGAGCTAGGCCTCAGCTGCAAGTCTTGAGCATGGCCTGGGGCAGCGACTGTTTCCTGAGCTTCCTGCCCACAGACTGAGGGGGAATTGAGTGGCTGATCAGAGCGGGATTGCAAGGATGTCTTTGCCAAGGCTGAGGCAGGAATCTCTTGCTTTACCGGTGCTTGGATCTGGGTCACAGTTCTGAGAAGTGGTCCTGGGGCAAGGAGGAGGGCTGGTGTGGTGGAGCTTGTAGTGGCTGTGGAGAGGAAACACCTTGCCCCTTATCATAGCACCTTGGAAGAACTGAAAATTTTCAGGTCCCTAGAAGTAGCTCTGAAAACAGCTGTACAAACCCCTGAAGCTTAGGACAGTACACTCTTCACATTGGAAGCAGACTTTTACCTTAACAAAGAGTTTAAAACTCAAGTAATTGGCCGGGATCATGAGTAAGCAGCACAAAAAGAGTCAGACTATATTATCTCACTTTGGTGACAAAGAAGATCAAAACATGCAACCAGAAGAAGACAACAAAGCCAAAGCTCCTACATCCAAAGCCTCCAAGAAGAATATGAATCAGTCCCAGGCCTTGGAAGAGCTCAAAAGGGATTTTGAGAAGCAAGTAAGAGAAGTAGAGGAAAAACTGAGAGTTTTGCAAGAAAATCATGAAAAACAAGTCAACAGCTTGCTGAAGGAGACCCAAAAAAATACTGAAGAAAATAACACCTTAAAAAGTAGCCTAACCCAAATGGCAAAAGAGGTCCAAAAAACCAACGAGGAGAAGAATGCCCTAAAAAGCAAGATTGGCCAAATGGAAAAGGAAGTCCAAAAGATTACTGAAGAAAATACTTCCTTAAAAATTAGAATAGAGCAATTGGAAACTAATGACTTCATGAGAAATTAAGACACTGTAAAACAAATCCAAAAGAATAAAAAATTAGAAAACAATGTGAACTATCTCATTGGAAAAACAACTGACCTGGAAAATAGATCCAGGAGAGAGAATTTAAAAATTATTGGACTATTTGAAAGCCATGATCAAAAAAAGAGCCTAGACATAGTCTTTCAAGAAATTATCAAGGAAAACTGCCCTGATATTTTAGAACCAGAGGGCAAAATAGAAATTGAAAGAATCCACCAATCACCTTCTGAAACAGATTCCCAAAGGAAAACTCCTAGGAATATTGTAGCCAAATTCCAGAGTTCCCAGGTCTAGGAAAAAATATTACAAGCAGCCAGAAAGAAACAATTCAAGTATTGTGGAAACACAATAAGGATAACACAAGATTTAACAGCTTCTACATTAGGGGACCAGAAGGCATGGAGTATGATATTCCAGAGGGCAAAGGAGATAAGATTACAACCAAGAATCACCTACCCAGCAAAACTGAGTATAATCGTGCAGGGGAAAAAATGGTCATTCAGTGAAATAGAGGACTTTCAAGCATTCTTGATGAAAAGACCAGAGTTGAATAGAAAATTTGATTTTCAAATACAAGACTCAAGTAGAACATGAAGAGGTAAACAGGAAAGAGAAAATCATAAGAGACTTATTAAGGTCGAACTGTTTACATTCCTGCATGGAAAGATGATATTTGTAACTCATGAGACCTTTGTCAGTATTAGGGTAGTTGGAGGGGAAAAAATTACATGTACATATATATAGATATAGACAGACAAATAGATAGATAGATAGAGGGCACAGAGTGAGTTGAAAATGAAGGAGTCATATCTGGAGAATAAAATTAAGAGGTGAGAGAGGAATATACTAGGAGAAGGAGAAAGGGAGGGGTAGAACGGGGTAAATTATCCCACAAAAAAAAAACTAGAAAAGAAAAGGCTCTTACAGTGGAGAAGAAATGGGGAAAGGTGAGAGGGAATGAGTGAATCTTACTCTCACAGGATTTGACTTAAGGAGAGAATAACATACACACTCAATTGGGTGTGGAAATCTGTCTTACCCTACAGGAGGGGGGGGGGGAAGGGGACAAGGGAGTAGGGGAATGATAGAGAGGAGGGCAGATTGGGAAAGGGAGTAATCAGAAGCAAAACCTTCTGAGGAGCGACAGGGTCAAAAGAAAGAATAGTATAAATGGGTGGGTGGGATAGGATTAAGGGAAATAGAGTTAGTTTTTCACAGCATGTCTACTATGGAAGTGTTTTGCATAACTTCACATATATAACCTATATTTAGTTGCTTGCCTTATCAATGAGGGTAGGTGGGGAGGGAGGAAGGGAGAAAATTTGGAACCTAAAGTTTTAAAAACACATGTTTAAAAAAAATGTTTTCACATGCAACTGGGAAATAAGAAATACAGGAAATGGGATACAGAAATCCATCCTGCCCTACAGGAAATTGAAGGGGAAGGGGATACGAGAATGGGGGGAGAGATAGAAAGGAAGGCAGACTAGGGGAAGGGGTATTTAGAATGCATGCCCTCTTGGGGCAGGGGGAGGGGCGAGATGGGGTGAAAATTTGGAACTCAAAATTTTGTGGAAGTAAATGTTGAAAACAAAAAAAAATTTAAAAATCATTAATTTGATTTTAAAAAGAGAGAGAAGAAAACCCAACCACTAGTATTAAAATGGGGCAGCTAGATGGCATAGGGGATAGAGCACTGGCCCTGGAGTCAGGAGGACCTGAGTTCAAATCCAGCCTCAGACCAAACACTTGACACTTACTAGCTGTGTGACCCTGGGCAAGTCACTTAACCCCAATTGCCTTAAAAAAAAACTTTACTGAATTACAAAAAATAATAACGAAATTCATTTGGAAAAACAAAAAGTCAAGAGTATCAAAAGAAATAATGGAAAAAATTAAAAGAAAAAATGGGAAAAAAGGAAAGAGGTTTAGCAGTACTAGTTCTTAAATTGTATTATAAGGCAGTAATTATCAAAACTATTTGGAACTGGGTAAGAAATATAAAGGTAGGTCAATGGAATAAAATAGACACACAATTTACAGCAACAAATAAAAATCAGATCCTTGTATTTGATGTGTGTAAAGATTTAGGATTTTGGGATGAGAATTCATTATTTGGTAAAATTTGTTGGGAAAACTGGAAAGCAGAATAGCGGAAACTGAGTATACATCAATATCTTCTAACATTTACCAAGATAAGCTCAAAATGGACACATGACCTAGATAAAAAGAATTTACAAAAAAATTAGAAAAACATGGAACATATTACTTATCAGACTTATGGATAGGTGAACAATTTATAAATAAACAAGATATAAACAGCAAAGTGAGGTGTAAAATGTATAATTTCCCTATATTACTTTAAAAATTTTTTGCACAATTAAAGCAAAAGTCAAGATCAGAAGGAAAGCAGCAACTTGGGGGGGGGACCCCCTCAGGGGAAATTTATGGACAATTTGTCAAAGGTCTCATATATAAAATACATAAAGAAATACATAATATACTATTATTAAATATATTTGTGTAATATATTGTATCATAATATATGTAAATATTTTTGTCAAATTTGTAAGAATATGAGTCATTCCCCAAAGGATATTAACAGGAAGTTTTCCAATGAAGAAATCAAAATAATTTTTAGTCATATAAAAAATGCTCTAAACCATTATTGATTAGAGAAATGCAAATTAAAACAACTTTGAGATATCATTTTACACATACCATATTGGCTAAAATGATAGAAGAAGGAAGTGACAAATGTTGGAGGAAATGTGAAAAAATTAATACACTAACTCATTCTTGGTGGACTTGTGAACTAATCCAACCATTTTGGAGAGTAATCTGTAATTATACCCAAAGAGTTATTAAACGGCTTATACCCTTTGACCTAGTAATACCACTACTTGGTCTATTTTTGAAGATAACTGGGGAGAAAAGAAAAGAATCTATATGTTATAAAATGTTTATAGAAGCTCTTTCTGTGGTGGTAAAGAACTGAAAATTTCAGGGATGTCTATCAATTGGGGAATGACTGAACAAATTGTGGTAGATGATTGTGATTGAATACTACTGTACAATAAGAAACGGTGAGCTTAATAATTTTAGAAAAACATGGAAAGTCATGAAATAATGAAAAGCAAAATGAACAGAACCAAGAGAACATTGTATACAATAAAAGCAATATTGTTTTAAGAATGACTTGGAGTGAGTAAATTATTTTGACTATTGTATATACCCAAAATAACTATAAAGGACATATAAAGAAAGATGCTATCTCCATCTAGAAAAGAATTGATAAATAGAGGTATGTATAGAATAATTTTACCTGTTTGTGTCTAATTTTAGCCATCTATGGTGGGGAGGAGTGAAAAAGAAAAGGAAAAAGAAAAAAATAAATTTACATTATAACTTTATTATAATATGTAAAAGTAATAGCAAGTTATACATAATAGATTTGCAGTTTTATCTACAATTATCTTTTCTATTATACTATGTTATGGAAATGCTTTTTTAATCCATAAATTAAAAATAAATAAGTTTTTTTTTTAAGGAGCATACATAGACAGGGGGCAAATGGGTGAGTTGAATGTGATGGGATGACTCAAAAAAAAAATAAAATTAAGGCATGAGAAATAATAATGCACTAGGAGAAGAGGGAAGGGGGAGATACAATGGGGTAAATAATCTGACATAAAAGAGGCACAAAAGAGATTTTACAGTGGAAGGAAAGGTGGGGAAAGTAGAGGGGAGTGTATGAACTTTACTTTTAATGGAATTGGTGAGGAAGGGAATAACATACACACGTAGTTGTTAATATAAAGGAAAGTAGGAAGAGAAGGGGATGAGAGAAGTGGGGACTGATAGAAGGGAAGGTGGATTGGGAGAGGTAAAAGTCAGAAGCAAAACACCTCTGAGAATGGACAGGGTGAAAGAAGAGACAGAGTAGAATAAACAGGGGGACAATAAAATGGAGCGAAATACATAGTTAGCAGTCATTACTGTAAAAAAAATTTCACAATGAGTTTCTCTGATAAAGACCTCATTTCTCAAATAGATAGAAAACTAAGTCAAATTTATAGAAATAAGAGCCATTCCTCAATTGATAAATGATTAAAAGATATAAGCTGGCAATTTTCAGATGAATAAATTAAAGCTATCTATAGTCATATGAATAAATGTTCTAAATCACTATTGATCAGAGAAATGCAAATTAAAACAACTCTGAGCTACCATTCCACACCTATCAGATTAGCTAATATGACAGAAAAGGAAAATGACAAATGTTGGAGGGGATGTGGAAAAATTAAGTAAATAATGTACTGTTGGTGAAGTTGTATACTGATTCAACCTTTCTGGAGAGCAATTTGGAACTATGTCCAAAGGGCTGTAAAACCACAGCCTTTGATCAAGAAATACCACTATTAGGTCTGTGTCCCAAAGAGATAAAAAGATGAAAAGGAAAAGGACCTATATGTACAAAAATAATTTTAGCAGTTCTTTATGTGGTGGCAAAGAATTGGAAACTGAGGGAATGTCCATCAATGGGGGAATGGCTGAAAAAGTTGTTGCACATGACTGATGGAATACTATTGTTCTATGAGAAATGATAATCAGGATGCTCTCATAAAAACCTTGAAAGACTTAAATGAACTGATGCAAAGTGAAATGAGCAAGGAGAACATCATGACCAATAACAGCAGTATTGTGTAATGATTGACTGTGAATAACTTAGCTCTTCTCAGCAATACAATGTTCCAAGACAATTCTGAAAGGCTTATGATGAAAACTGCTATCTATCACCAGAGCAAGAACTGATGGAGTCTGAATAAAGATCAAAGCACACTTTTTTCTTTGCTTTCTTTATTTTTCTTGGGGTTTTTTTTTTGTCTGTGCTTTCTTTCATAGCATGATTTTCATGGAAATAAGTTTTGCATGACTGCACATGAATGTACCCTATGTTGAATTTCTTGCCTTCTCAATGAGGGAAAAGAGGAAAGTCAGAGAGGGCAGGAGGGAGGGAATTTGTAGCCCAAAATTTGAAAAAAAGGAGTTTAAAGTTGCTTTTATATGTAATTGGGGGGAAATAAAATACCAAAATAACAAAAAATAAAATTAAGGAGCAAAAAGATGCTCTGGGAGAAGGGAAATTAGGTATACAATATACAGAAGCAAATGAGCACAGTAGCAGAGTGTTTGATAAACTCAGATTCCAGCTCTTAGGGCAAGAACTCACTATTTGGCAAAAACTCTTAATATAAATGGAAACTAGTCTGGTAGAAACTAGGCTTAGTCCAAAATCTCAGACTGTATACAAAGATAAGCTCAAAAGGAGTGCATGATTTAGACATAAAATATGATATCATAAGCAAATTAGTACAACATGAAAGAAATTGCCTATCATATCTATAGATGGGGGAAATACTATCTGCCTTTAGAAAGAGAACTGATAGACTCAGAGTGTAAGTTTTTATATTTTTTTCTCTTTCTTTCCCTTGATTTTTTAGGAACATGGCTAATGTGGAAATTTACTTCACATGACTATATTTTTGTAATGAGTCTTCTATTTCTTGCCTTCTCAATAGATGGAACAGAAATGGGGAAGGGAGATAAACTGGAAGTGAAAATAAAATAAAATTGAATTATACAAATCATCAGAGGCTCTTCCTGTATAGCACTGGAAAAGTAGATGAAAAGATAATGTTGATGCCTCCTTGGGGACATAAATATAAATAATTCACCATGGCTGATTTTTCAAAGACTTGTTATGCACTTATTGATATAATAGTCTGGTCTGATAGTGTTTGCCAAGGATGGCAAATTATTTAAACAAGGGAGAGAATGTAGTGAATCACTGGCTTACTTGCCAATGAGAGGGCCCGCTCTTCAGGAGAATGCACAGTGTGCTTTGTCTAATGCAAGCAACAATATGAATGCTTGGAGAGCCTCCTAATTTAAATCATCCTTGCATCCCTCATATAAATCCAACTTCTTCAAAATTTATTAATTTTGAAGAAGTTGGATTTATATGAGGGATGCAAGGATGATTTAAATTAGGAGAACAATTAACTTAACCATGCTAAGAAAAAAAAACACTATCAGACCAGACTATTATATCAATAAGTGCAGAACAAGTCTTTGAAAAGGAACAACACTTTGTACTTTAAAAAGCACAAACATAGAAGAGATATTGATATGGCAAGAAGATTTCAAAACCAAGAGCTAAAATTACTGGCAATGGAGAAACTCTAAAATTTTTCAAAGAAATAAAGAAATGATGCAAGGATATTTTCCCTATTTACTAATCTAGCTATTCTTACATAATCACTAAAACAAGAGAAATGAATTAAAGGCATAAACTTAAGCAAAGAAGAAGCAAAACTATCCCTACTTCAGAGGGTTACTTAGAAAATTTCAGAGAGTCAATAATTATATTTTAAAAGACAACTAAGAGCTTCGATAAAAAAAATATTCAAAATAAATCACAAAAACCAATAGCATTTGTATTTAGATATTACTAAATCTAGGAAAAACTACTTAAAAGGGACATTCCATCCAAAATCACTCCAAAATGCACAACATATTTGAGAGTCAATCTACCAAAATATACTTAAAATTTATGTGAACCCAATTCTAATTCATTTTAATAAAATAAATTTACGTTATTGGACACATTAAATGTTCATGGTTGGACCATTCCATTAAAATAAAACAAACAAAACTAGTTAACCTAATTTATGGATTTAGTGCTATTCCAATTATATCATGCACTGAGTATTTTTATAGAATTAGACAAAATAATAAAAGATATGTAGAGTAATATAAGGTCCGAAATAGGAGGAAATGAATAAAATGAGGAATGAAGGAGGAATAGTCCCTGCAGACCTCCTATTATATTATGAATTTATCATTATCAAAACTACTCATTTTAGTTAAAAAGATATAAAAGTTCATCAGACAGAGATTAGTAAGAATCAGAAATAATTAAGCCAAATTACTTGGAAATTAATCAACTAAAATAAATAACTTCGCAAAAAATTCTTTATTTGACAGGAGCACCACTTTCTTCCATGCTTTGTATCTCATTTTTAAATGTAAGCACTTTGAGACTGTGTATCCTTACTGCTTAGCACAGTGCTTGAAACAGAAGCTCTTAATAAATGTTTTTTTTCATAAACTTTCATTCAAACAACTTGAAACAAAGTAGATGCCCATCAATTGAAGAATGGCTACATGAATTGTGTCTCATAAATGCAGTGGAATACTACTACTTGGTAAGAAGCAATAAATATAAATAATTCGAAGAAGCATGGGAAGAATTCTATGAAATGCTGTAAAGTGAAATAAGCAGAACTAAGAAAATATACAGTGACAATGTAAATGAAAAGAACTACAGGAAAAAAATGAAAGTGAATGCTATGTAAATAGAATGATGAACTTTGGCTCTGAAGAAGAAAGAACTTTGTTCTCTTATTTGCAAAGGTGGGGAATGATAGGTGTGAAATATTACATCAAATGCAATCGATGTATTGTTTTATTTGCTGAACCACAAGAGGTTAAAATTGTATATAGTTGAAGACACCATAATCATACCCAGATGAGTTAGATAGCATTTGCAAATGATGAGAAAAAAAACTCAATGTGAAGATTTACTATGATAAATTTCTATTTCAGGAGTAATTTGTGGGAAGGAATTTCTGGAGATGAACATCCACCCAGATCCCTGAACACACTACAAGGAATGAAATTAATGTTGGAACATGCTGGCTATCCTATAGGGGATCCCAGAAGCCCAGCAAGTGAGTTGTACTGCTCAGGCCTTCATCTGCAAAATTATATATTTGCAGGTCAGGCCACATCATTGGAAATTATTGGCTTGATTTTCACTGGCTGCTTTGTGTAAATGAAGACCTGTGGGTTGTCTTACCAAGGATGGTGCACTGCTAGATTTTAGACATCTACTCTGATGGTCCTTTTATGATTACCTCAGTTTAAAGGGCTTGAAAGCCAGAAGCTTCCACTCACTTCCATTATCAGTTTCTCTAAGAACATAATTCTCATGTCTGGTAAGATGCTATTTTCCCTTTGAACTTTATCTAAACCTTGGTAAATTGAGTCACATCTCCTGGTGATCCTAAAATTAGGTTCATGAAGCTATGGTGGAATAAAGGATGTGAAGAGTCATGGAAATTAACTTTTAAGCATAAATAAGAATTATGGCTTCCAGAGTGAGCAAAATAGTAGACCCACCACTTCCTAAGTAAACCAAACCAGCACCATTTGTGTATGGGAACCATCATTTAGAAGCTACATTGACAACTGATAATACGTTAAGTGTCAAAGTGATGGCAGAAAGATAGAGAGGAGTCTCTTAAGTTATAAAAGACTAAGAACAGTTATGACAATGGTCCTTAGCACAACCTAGCTCTTTAGCAGAAATATAGAAAGGAACATGCACAGGAAGATGTATCAGAGTTAGGGATTCTCTGAGGCATGGCATAAAAGCCTTCATTTATACAGAGCAACCAACACAGGAAATAACATCAAAATATTTTTTAGTACACAAAAGAAATGACAAGGAATTAAAGATAAGGAGAGTTTTGAAAGCTACAAGTTGAATGTATTATATATTTTTAAATAAAAGCAAACTGTACATAATAGAGATTCACAAATCCATGTACAATCCACTTTATTCAATTTTGGTTATGGAAATGTACATTTTAATTTTTTGCTTTTAAAATTTAGAAAAAAATCACATAAAATTAGGAAAAAACATTTCCTCACAATTGCAGTTGATCAAAAACAGAATGAGCTGTCTCAGGCAACCACAAGTTCTCCACTATTCCAGGTCTTCAAATAGAGGTTTGAGGACCATCATGAGGGATATTGTAGACAGAATACAAAGTTTGGGCTGAAATATTTGACTTCTGAGGGGCTGACATTGAGTTATTCTCATAATAATTCCTGGTTTAAAATACCCAAATATCACCAAAGTGATAAGATCATAAAATTACACCAATCAATATTTCTATTTAATACATATTCAA